CGGACTAGACTGGACTGGACTGGACTGGAGCTGGAGCCGGGGGAGATGAGCCATGCAGAGGTGCGAGGACAACAGGGCTACTAAGGACAGAGAGAATTTATATTTTTTGAAAGATGAGAGGATATCAGAATCAGAATTGTTTTTGTTGTAGTTGTGAGTAACAGGAAGTCACAAAATTGAAAATTGCTTTGGTTCTTGATGTAATAAAGTTATATAAGTAAAAATAGAATAAGGCATGCATGAAAGATATGAGCATTATTTATTCAACCGAAAGCATAAGAATACAGAAAAAAACAGACTCAATTCGGCTGAAATTTCAAACTGGTCAGAGAGTTTTAAGGTCCTGGCTCCGTGCGCCTTCCGGAGCATATGGTGTCTTGTGATGCTTTCAAAAGCGCCTCGTAACTTTTGCCTCAACACTCAAACTGTGGAAGAGTAATTGTAGAAAATAAGATTGCAATCATAGTTAATTAATTTCATTTTTTCACATTTTCATTGAAATCACAACAGCAGTCATCTCGGAGGACTCCACCAACAACAGACGAGAACCAAACAGATCAAACACAGGAAATGCAACAAAAACAAACACAGGAGCCATTGATCCATAGGGAGCGGGAGAACCACTGTCCATAAAGTTAGATGTGTTGTGTTACATACTGTTGGAAAGTCAACTCATTTACCTAACTTACAATGCGGCAGGGACAGTCATCGCAACAAAGCATAATATGGTTCTCACTCACTCACTACTGTACTCGTATTTTGAGGCATACATTATATGCATCCAAATACATATATTTTATAATGGCTTTTATGTCCTAAAATCTTACTGTGGAGAATTGTTGTAAATTGATCTTGCTTAAATCTGGTCCATAACAAATAAATAATTATAACAAAAATACATAATTGATTAAAGGCAAATATATTTTCAGTCCCTTTTACGATTAGTTCATCAAACATTTAAATCCAAACCACTGAGCTCTCTCTTCAGGCTGTAATCCAACCTGAGGAGAGAGCTTCACGTTTTACACAGAGGCAGAAGTGGCTTTAGTCCGATCACTTTCACTGCGTCCTTAGGCAAGACACTTCACTCACCTCCAACAGTATGAATGTGGTCTGAGAGTTGGAGATCGTGGTGATTGGAGCAGATGCCACAGATTAGCAGACTCATGTCGGTCAGTCAGCCCCAGGGCAGTTTCTCTGGAGTATCTGGGTTAACCTCAAGATGAATACATTATTATACTTATATTATTATTATGACTGGGACATTAGGGACTCTCTGTTTCTTAAAGGGGACATTACATGCAAAATTAGCTTTTCACAGCACGCTGATATAAGCAGTTACACACTGATTCATGCCTTTTTGAGTAATTTATGGCACCCTGTCTCCTCTGTCTTATCCAGTCTTGCACACACGTTATTGCTTTTAGGAAAAAAAAAAACTTTCAGATTGCTAACTTTATCTGCTGTTGAGCAAGGCCTGCAGAATACATACTTTTTATTTCCTCTTTTATAACAGTGTTTTTGGTAAATATTGAGATTTAAAATGTACGGAATAGATAACAACGAGTCATATAGATTAGCACTATGGAGACAGAAGCATTATATGCATTAAAGCTAGTCTGCTTTACTTTATGTATTTTACTTTGGGTCATAAATTCAGAAACGTAGAACTTAAACAACTCAGCAACTCACGGTCATCTCCCAAAACATTGGAACTATTTTGAAAGTGAGGAACTATTATACTACATCTCGTTTTGCCTCCTGAAAAAATTAGGTACCCCAGCTTTAAGTTAGCTTCACACGCACAAAGTAGCTGCAAATGGAACAATTGTGTTTGCTCCGTCTATAAATTAAACATATATGCCCTGTCTGTGTGTGTAACTGTGGGCTCTGTCATGTGTAAGAAAATTGGCGGCTCAAAATTTCCCCTCGTTGTGTGTCTGTGTGTGGGTCTGTGTGTGTGTCTGTGTGTGTGTCTGTGTGTGTGTGTGTGTGTGTGTCTGTGTGTGTGTCGGCCCTGCAGCCATCACTGCCCAGACTATTTCCTGCCAGAGTTGGGCTCCAGTCAAGCTTTGCCTTCTAATGAGAATAGGCAGCAGAAGATAAATACATGAGAAAGGTTTTGGCTAAACACGGTCGGCCATACATCACTTTTTACTTTCATCATTGTCAATTGTAATTTTTTTTTTTTTTTTTTATTTTTACAGAGATCTGCTGTGTGCGGTGGAAAGTCCCTGTTTTTAAAGATACCCAAAACAACAATTCTTTGCGTTTTTTCTCTCAATGTATTTGTGTAATGATTTAAGCAGTGACAACAACAATATATATTCAAAATGTGTCTCTGGAAATGTGATATTTTATTACACACAAAACGAAGGGTGAGCCCAGTTGACATCATCTCCTGGGATTATGCAATATTGCAGTTTTGTAAGTAAATACTTTGGCTCTCGTTTCAAACTTTGGTAGATACAGTACAATGCTGATGCAACTTTATCATTAGCTATTATTTAAACATACATACTTTTTATTTTTATTTTCATATTTTCAATTCACACACATATTGGGAAAGTAATCATTCAAGTTTGCCATGAAGTAAACATTACATACAGTAGCACTGGTCCATCTTATTTGTATTCACACATAGTCAATTAAAGCTGGGGTACCTAACTTTAAAACCACAATCTTTTTCACTATTGAATAAAAGCCGTCTAGTTTTTTTTTCTTGTCTTGTCTTTGTTTTATGTTGTGTTGTTTTTGTGTTCTTGTTGAATCTTGATGTGTCTGTCTGTTTTGTTGTATTTGATCATTAAAAAAAAATATATATATAAAAAAAAAGTATTCGGGCAAGAGCTCTGGTGTGTGCCGTCTGGTTTTTAGTATCTTTTAGATTTGCTAAACAGTTTAGTTTTGATCACTGTTTTTTCACATGCACATATTTTTTGGCTTCTGTCACATCTTTAATGCTGTAAAAAGTGTAAAATAGAGGACCACCCGCTCTCAGCCAATCAGCTCGCAGCCCACAGCGTTAAAAAGTGACTCACAGGGCTCTTTGTTCCGAGTCTGTAAACAATTTCATGTTTTCTAACAAGAGACAGACAGGATGTGGTGGTTCTAATTTACTTACCCTTTAAGTTCAGACAAAACAAACGAATCCTTTATGAAAAAAGTGAGGTCCCCCAGCTTTAACTCTGTCTATTCATTCATTTATTTCTGCTTTATCTGTTGCCTGGTGGCCGAGGCAGTTGTCTGATCTCGTGCCAGTCTCCCCAAAGCTTTCCTGTGAAATGACACTTTCACATTGTTTATTATTTCATGCAATAAATCAACACTTCTAAAAATGAAAGAAAACCTCAAACCTCGACTAAGGCTCATGTAATCTGTAATAACTGGAACATGGTGACCCCTTCAATGACTTCTCAAAAAGGAGTTATTTGTAATACTGCAGTCGTTCAACCGAGTCTTAACTGTAAAGGAATTTGTAAGAACCCACATGGTTAAATATCTGGGTCCTGGGCTTGTTTGTTTTTCCTATGAGATAAGATAAGATAAAAGCATTCATGGAGAAATGCCAATATTGTGACGCACAGTATAAGTGAGTTACTATTTGACGCTTTGTGCTGAGAGCTGATTGGCTAAGCTTTTCTGTCAAACAAAAAGCAGATCTAAGGATATGACAGAGGCCTGGTCTTCCTAGCCTGGTCGTACCACGCCATAGTACAAATTACATTTCGTACTAAGGTCTGGAGGTGCTCCATTGAGCTCCGTTTACAGGTGGGAGGGGTTAACTCCTTTTGCAGATTGAAATGATTGGATCTGAGTTTACCGTGACGTATGTAATGCGCCCTAGTGAGTCGTTAGCGTTTAGCCTAGCCATCTATTTTGCCGCTAACGGAGCCCGTGGGGAGTAGCGCCACAATTTTTTCCAGCAATTTCATTTGCTAAACATTCCTCTTGCTCTGACTTCAGTTTCTTGATAGAACCAGACCGGATTACTTTACTATCGCATTCTTCTTAATTGCCAAACTACAACCTTCCCGTTCGCCGCAAACTCTTGACGTCACCCACAGCTAACTACAACACCTGCCTTCCGCGCTCGCTGGTTGGTCGGTCGAAATTCAACCGATTGTAATCGCAAACCCAGGGAACAGACCCAGACGTTACATGATGATTGAACAGAGTGTTCGGATGGCTAAGGCCAGGCTATGATCTTCCTAACTGTGTGACTTTTCATGTGTACAGGTTGTTCATTTCTATACCATTATTCTTATACAAAAAATAATCAAAATCTGATTAGTTTCCCCAACAGAGATGAGCAAGTGTTAGTTACCATAGCAACACAGAGTTTAGTACTGATAGTGTTGATAGTATTGCCTTTCATCAAACTATTATTGCTGTATTTCCAAATATATTTACTAGTTTTAGTACTTTCTAAAAGTGAGTAAAGGTTAAAACAAAATGTGTGAAAAACTAGAATTCAGAATTGTATTGGTTTGAGAAAAAGAGGGCGATCCAAGCGATGTCCCACAGTGGAGAAATGTAATTGTTGCATCACCAGATACAGAACAGTAGGAATGAGGAGCACACAGGACAAGAGTTAAGTAGTAAGTAGTATCTTTAGAAGTAGTAGTTGTAGTAATAGTAGTAGTAGTAGTAGTCTCAGTGTTAAAACATGGGATATTAGTTTGTGGTTCAAAAGCCCATTTTCACAGCTTTTATTTTGAGCTCAATAAATTCTGTGAAAAACTCTCCCAGTCACTGCAGCTCAGATTTTTTACCCTCGCACTGATTGGCCCAAAGCCTCGCCGTGTCACCGTGCGTAAATACCCCACTCCCACACACCAAACTTGACAGTCCCATAACAAGCTCGCCTCGCCTGGGCCAACTTCACTTTTTTATTCACGCGTCACGGTGCCCACAACTCACTCCTCCAGCGACCACGCCACTACCACTCCACTCTTTTTTTTTTTGGAGGGACTTTTACAACACATTTTGGAATAGTCATGTCCTCCCACGATGCGTTTAAGGACCTGGGCAGCGCTAGTTCATCCGAGGAGGACTGCAGCGCGCGTTCGGACGGGACTGAGACCGCGGAGGAGGATAAGACCAGTACCCACGCCTCTCCAAGCGCGCACAGGCACCATCCGTTCAGCGTGGAGGCGATCATGTCCGGCAGGGTGATGTCCAGGAGCAAAGACGCACCAGTCAGGACCGCGCTGAACGCGCTGTATCTGTGCCGAGACAGCGACGCGAGTCTCAAGTCTTTAACGTCGCCAACTTCGCCCGTCAAGTCCGAAACGTCGGAGCCAGACGAGTGCGCGCCATGGGTGACCAGTGGAGCGTACCCAGCACAGACACGTGAGTTTTTACCCCCAGTTTAGACGTCTGGGAATGGAAATACAAAGATTACGCATGTGGCTGTATCCTTGTTTATGATTTGGTTTTATGGGAATGAGAGATTGAGACATGGAGTGGTCACTTTGAGAATAAAATGGCACATGTTGTGGTGGTGGACACTTAAGGAGGCTGTAGGAAATCTAATGTAATAGACAAAAACTGCTAAAACATGATGTAATTGTCAGGTTAGTATTCGTAATTACGCACAGACAGAGATTGGGAGACAACACGCGCTATAACATTGAACGCCCAAATACAGATAGAAATGTATTATAAAAGATTAAACAAATATTATTATATGACCTATTTTCAAAGCAGCTTAACTTTTCATAACACACACAATACTGAAGAAGATTCTCGAAAGGGACCCCGATACTAATTTTTGTGACATTTTGGTCAGGTTAAGAATGCACATGTTACTGCTCTCTCTTTGGTTTTCCTCTTTGTAGAACCGATAAAAAGTAGAAGAATCCAATCCGTCTTAAATGCTTCTGATAATATATCTTTAACTAGTGCGATAATATGAAGCTGGAAAAACCGAGAAGGATTTCTGTTAGGATTTTTGGGGATTGCACCATTTTAACCCAGGCCAACTGTGCATTTACCCTGTTGCTAAGAAAATATTTACATGCATTTAATTGAAAATTTTTGACCCATATTTAAGACTATAATCAGCCTTTCATCAAATTAATTATAGTCAGCTACTTATTTTACCGACAAGCTGCTCTGTGCTCTTTGTGCCAGAGCGTAATTATTATAATTTGTTTTATCTGTAATCGACCTCAATTACAAATTTATTAAAAGCCGTAAATTATCATATACTCACATTTACTTTCATTTGTTGAGTTAATTGTTAATGTAATCCTAACCTGCAGTAAGAGGACTGAAGATTAAGATTAAGAGATCGTTTATTCTTTCCACAGTGGGGGAATTTCAGTGTTGTATCACAAGTTATAGAACAGTAGGAGTGAAGAGCACAAGATTAATTAATGATAACTTCATGATAAGTAAAATAAAATAAATTCTCCAACTTTAGCACCAAAAAGAAAGAAGTACAAAATGTCTATCTTTAGCATTATGGTGTATAAAAACTCTGACTTTAGCATAATAAAGAAGTATGAAACCTCTATCTTTAGCATAATAAGTACAAAACTCTGACTTTAGCAATAAAGAAGTATGAAACCTCTATCTTTAGCATAATAAGTACAAAACTCTGACTTTAGCATAATAACGAAGTTTAAAAACTTGATCTTTAGCATAATAAAGAAGAATAAAATCTAGTCTAACTTGTTAAAAATAAGACGTCAGTGACAAACAAGGGTCTTATTTTCTGCTCACCCCTGACTCTTTCCCTCCCTCAGGTCACATGACTCCGGGTTGCCAGCTCCGAAAGCACAAGACAAACCGTAAGCCCCGCACGCCCTTCACCACGTCGCAGCTACTGGCGCTGGAGCGGAAGTTCCGGCAGAAGCAGTACCTGTCCATCGCAGAGCGCGCCGAGTTCTCCTCCTCGCTCACCCTCACCGAGACACAGGTCAAAATCTGGTTCCAAAACCGCAGAGCCAAAGCCAAGCGTCTGCAAGAGGCCGAGCTGGAGAAACTCAAAATGGCCGCAGATGCCAAAACTGCCGCCGTAGCTGCCGCAGCCAACGCCGGGGCACTGCACCCGGGATTCACGTTACCTCTGTCTCTGGGGGCCATGTCTCTGTACGGACAGTCTTACTCGGCCTACCACCACCACCACCACCAGCACCGGCCCCTGCTGCCTCTGTCTCCGCTGGGACTCTACGGCTCTCCTCTCAGCTACAGCATGTACCACTTGTCCTAACACGAGACACGACACAGACTCACCGGGACTTGCAAATGTTCGGAGGAATTTTTTTGAACAAGGAACCAGATCTAATTTAATATGTAAAAAAAACAAATATATATATAAATACTTAAATGTGGCCTTTCTGGGGTTTTGCCGTAGCCATGCATCTGCCTTGGACAATGACACTAACCTCACAACACGTCGGATGCCTTAAAAATCAGCTCTGGGCACTAAGTAAGAATATTTTTTATATGTTTTTTTTTTTGCTGGATGCCCCTGCTGTAATCTTTCTGGAGATGCCAACACATACCTGCAGTGATTCCCTTTTTTTTTTTTGTTTTTTTATCAGGGATTGTCAAAAGCGCTGGTATATTGGCTTTGACCCTGAATCTTGTCGCGAGCCTGGGACTGAAGCAAAGAATCAAAAAAAAACTTGCCTTTGTGAGCATTTTGCGGTCGGGCTGCATTCATAGTGGGACAATGAGTGGAGTAAGTAATTGATGGCCAAAGCCATTTTCCAGTTTGTGACTTCCTGTTACTCACCACGAGGCAATAAAAGGATTCTGATTCGATAGATCTTTAACATAGAAAAAAATCTCCAAAAAGTCCTTGAATAACGGGTCTCTTTTATCAAACATATTTTCTACTTTTGCCTCCATTTTTGTCTGTGATATGTGCCTGACCTCGATGGATGGCTGCTTCCAAAGCGTCCAGGCCCACGCCCCGGGTGTAGTCAGCGGACACAAACTGGGTCCAAGATGTCGTACGTCTGTCCGGAACAGTGGTCCACGGCAGAATACTCTATCCACCGACGCAAAGCCCTTCGTTCCAGGAGCCACAGAGGGTCCCACCACTCCCTGCACAAAACATAAAATTCAGAATTATGACAAAAGAATAAGGTCCATAGAGTATCTACAATCGGCATATGTATGACACATCTCCTGTCCTGTTTGAGTTTATGTTTGTTTATTGTAAATACGTCTTTTAAAAACTATAGAAAACCCTTGGCGTGGAGCAAAGCAGGTAAACACACATTGTTCAACGAGGAGACTAATATAAAATTTGGCTTAACATTTGGCTGAATGAGGCCAAAATTGCGTAACATTTGGCACGATAATGACGTTGTGAGCTCGTTACCATAGTGACGAGTGTCCATTCCAACCACCTGAGAGCGAGTTCGGCTCCCACCACTACGCCTCCCCCCTGGCGCGACGAGGACAGGAGTTTTTTAAAAGGGTCGATTAACAAGGGCTGTTTTCTCTGTAAAACCAAAGACAAAGAAGATTCAACAATGCACGGCGTTTCATTCATAAAACAACAAGCAAAACACCAATACCATATTAATCAAAGACCCGTGTAGTGCTTAGTGTAATCCGGGGACTGGACTTCAAATCATGTCTGCTCACCCACCCGCTTCAAACTAGTTACATATTTTTCTGTATCCTGGTCATTGTTTTTTGTTCCATGATATTTGAAATATACTGTTGATAGTAATAACTAGAGTCCGTTTTATACAGCCGCTTTGGATCTTGGACACTCAAAACGCTTCACATGTCATTTTTTTCATGCACATCCATTCCATGGTGATATAAACTTCTACTGTATGCCACCAACGTCGCCCCTGGGGCACACTGACAGAAGCGAGGCAACCACTATGTGCCATAGACCGCCTCCTACCCACCACCAACCATCACACACACCACCAGACTCATGCTAATGTGGTTAAGTGTCTTGCCTACGACACAACGACAGTTCTGGCCCTTAACAGCCGCCCACTGTGGGCACCTGGCGTTCCCAGAGGTCTCCCATCACTAAAAAACTAACCAAGCCCTGCCCTGCTTGGTTTCAGAATGATTAAAAAAAAGAGAAAGATTGAGTGTAAGATTTCTTTTTCAGTGAGAAAAACGACTTGTGAAACAATTCCAAATTATTAGCAAAGAACGAGGCAGAATGGGTCCCCGCCACTGCTCCGACAGGTGACTACCCTCGTGGCCTGTGACGGATGGGCCAAATCAAAAGCAGAGGACGAATGTAACCCATAACCTATACGAGCGGGGTCTGGGGAACGGGGTAAAAGGAAGTGGTGTAAATGGCAAAGGAAGCAACTATAATGGTGCCAAAGCTGTGAAAAGTAGCCACTGTAATTGTTTTAGTCAAGAATGTTATAAGCTATATTCCTCCAAATGCAGTTTCTTCTTAACCTCAGTTTGCTTAAAGCTGGATTACCCTAGCCTGGCTCTGCCAGACCCTTGTAGTTCCGCCATGCGCCAACCAAGCCGTTTGGCTGATACCACAGGGGTCCAGGGTAGCGAGCCCCATCGCGAACCTGAGCCTTCCCGCAGATGTTTTTTAATCGACCAAATCAGGATTGCCGGTGCTACGGGGGGTTCGGCAAACTGCCTTCTCCAAAGCTTCTCCAAGCAGCAGCGAGAGGAAGCCAAGATGGCGGACGTAAAGTCCGCGAAATCTTTTTAAAAGAGTAATACCGATCGAATTAAGACACAGAGGTCTCTGTTAATGCATTTTTGAGCGTTGATGGTTCTAGGTTGATATATGGTGTGTTGAGTCAAATGTTCCTGTAAGTTAGGTTGTAGCAGCTACTGTAGCTAACAGCTACTGTAGCAAGCTACTGTAGCTAACAGCTACTGTAGCAGCTACTGTAGCTAACAGCTACTGTAGCAGCTACTGTAGCTAACAGACAGCAGGGAACACGTTGTTTGTATCAGAGCAATGAGAGCAATGTGTGAGTGCGCTTTGGAATAACGAGCGTGAAAGATGTGGCGTACGAACATGGCGTACGGACATAACGACCGGAGCCTGCGTGCGTGTGTGTGTTCTGGCGATTACATAAAGTCTGATTCTTGAACGTTTGAAGTGTTATTGCAACAGCACCAACTGTGAGAGCGAGCATTAGGCCAGAGGGAGACTGTTAGCATTAGGTTAGCTTCAAAATGACTGCTCAACACCATAGACCCGCGGTTAGCGCGTTAGCGCTGTAGTTCTGCGCTGGAGAAAATAAAAATCGAATTTTTAAAAAAAGAAATCGCCCTAAACGTAAAACTCGAATTAATGATTAAAATCGATTAATCGCCCAGCCCTACTTCACACTGATGCAGGTAAAGTCACAGTTTTGGTCATGTTAGATCTTAGTGCCGCGTTCGACACTGTCGACCATGAGATCCTCATGCAGAGACTGGAGGACTGGGCTGGTGTCACTGGCACAGCCCTAGACTGGTTTAGGTCTTACCTGGAGGATAGGAAGTACTCTGTGGAGATTGGAGACTGCGTCTCAGATGATGTGGCCCTGACCTGTGGTGTACCACAGGGGTCGATCCTGGGACCTCTCCTATTTAATCTCTACATGCTGCCGTTAGGTCAGTTAATACAAAGAAACAAAGTGTCCTACCACAATTACGCTGACGACACTCAGATCTATGTCTCACTGACTGCAGGAGAACATGGACCACTGGATTTGCTCCTTCACTGTATCCAACAGATCAGTGACTGGATGCAAAATAATTTCCTCCAGCTAAATACAGACAAAACCGAAATCATTGTCTTTGGTCCCCAGAAACAAAGAGAGGGCGTCATTTGTCAACTTCAGTCTCTCTCTCTACTTCCTTCAGACAAGGTCAGAAATTTGGGGGTAATACTGGACTCAGACCTAAATTTCAATAGCCACATAAAATCAATAACATCAACAGCTTTTTACCATCTGAAGAACATTGCCAAAGTTAGAAATATAGTGTCCAGGGCAGACTTGGAGATTCTTGTCCATGCATTTGTCTCCAGCAGGCTAGACTACTGCAATGGCCTGCTTACAGGTCTGTCCAAACAGACCTGTAAGCAGCTGCAGTACATCCAAAATGCAGCAGCTAGAGTCCTGACAGGAACCAGGAAGTATGACCATATTAGTCCGGTCCTCAGGTCTCTGCACTGGCTTCCTGTGGCTCAAAGAATAGATTTTAAAACGGCTCTGCTTGTGTACAAGTCTCTCCATGGCCTTGCACCAGAATACATTAGTGACATGTTGGTGTCATATGAACCAGCCCGGACTCTGAGGAGCACAGGGACTGGCCTCCTGCTGGTGCCCAGAGTGAGAACCAAACATGGGGAGGCTGCGTTTCAGATCCATGCAGCTAAGATCTGGAACAATCTCCCTGAAAATGTGAGGGAGGCGTCTACTCTGTCAATGTTCAAATCCAGGTTAAAGACTGTTCTGTTTGCCTGTGCATACAACTGAAGGATTTTATCTCCATTTTTAATGCACTGCTGTCATTTATTTATTTATTTAAATTTCTTGTGTAATTTTGAAAGTTTTAATGGTTTTATTCTTTTGTGTGATTTTAATGTTTTAATTGTGTTTTAATCTTTTGTGTGATTTTAATGTTTTAATTGTGATTCTGGTGTTTGTTTTATGTGATGATTTGTGATGTGGACTGTGAAGCGCTTTGTGTTGCCATGTGTATGAAAGGCGCTCTACAAATAAACTTTGATTGATTGATTGAACATGTCCAATATGTCTGAATGTAATGAGTGAGTGAGTGAGTGAATAGATCAGGGCTTCGATGTGCCAGTGTGTGTTGGTGTTAGGGATGTAAAAAACTATGAATTTTCATGACCGACCACCGAGCCTCATTAACCGGTTGAAACCGGTTAACCGCGTAGTTTAAAATAGTCCACGTTCTTTGAAATAACAGCCATTTCGAGCCGCGTACTTTTCATAAGTGCAGCTGAGCGTTCTACGGGATCAGAGCCGAGACAGCGGCGCCAAAACCCGCAACAGCTTCGGCACCTTTGCGCACAGAGAACTGCTGTTTTAATCTTCCCATTCTTCTGTGCTGCGGCTTAAAGCATTTTTAAGCAAAAGACAGCTCGTCCACATGGTCAGGGCAGCGAGTGACGAGCCGCGTCTCGCAGGTTTCCGCTAAAGTTTAAAAGTGATGAGTGTGGAGCTGATGCCAAGGACCAGCAGCACAAACATGGTCCATGTGGTTTGACTGACTTTGACTGTATTTGCAAGAATGCGTGGGCTCCGTGACACAGAGGAGCGCGACAGACCGGTATGTGTGTGTGTACAATACATGTATGTATGTGTGTGTAAATATAAGCTCCAATGTAGTTCTGACCCGCACCAGTGTGCAACTAGCAGGCGGTAACAGAGGGGAGAGATGATGCGTGTGGATGTTACGTGTCAATGGAGGGGGGGGGAAATGTGTGTGTGTGTGTGTGTGTGTGTGTGTGTGTGTACATGTGTGCGTGCATATGTGGCGCGTACGGCGTGAGAGTCGGCCCAGAGTTTACTGTTACATTGGCGCACACAGCTAGATAGGGACCCGCTCGTCACATCGTGCAAATAGGGCTTAAAATAGCGTTATGAAGAGACCTCCCCTCCCCCCCTTTTCTCTTTTTTAACCGACAGCTTTGACCGGTTAACGCTGTGACGGTCAACCACCGGTTAAACGGTCACCGATTTACATCCCTAGTTGGTGTCTCGCTTGTTTGTGTGAGCTTGATCTGTGAAATTCGCTATATAAAGATTACTTACTTGCACATATTTTTGAAAGGGCACATCTAAAAACAACTCCCACATTGTACAGTTTTATAGAAAAGTTGAAACGGAAGGCACTACATCCAGGATCATCTAAAGCCGATAAAGTATCCTTCTATCTCTGTGATGTCTCCAAACGGTGTTATATGAATGAATGAAGAGTAAATTTTGTGATTAAAGTTTTAAAGTGCTCTAAATATTGCGCTGCTCTGATGCAGAGTGGGAGACGGTGACACAGTTTGGAGCTGGAACAGACCATGTGTTGTTCTTTGATGTTGTATGGAATTAGAAATTAAATGAATAAATGAAAATGAAAAGATGTTGGACCTATTGAACACATTTATAACAAAAATGGTGTTATAACATAATGGGGTCTACATCAAGATTAAGAGATCCTTTATTTGTCCCACAGTGGGGAAATTTCAGTGTTGCATTGCAAGTTACAGAACAGTAGGAATGAGGAGCACACAACACAAGCAAAATGAACAATAGCTCTATACTAAAATTAAACAATCTCTTCACTGTTGCATAGTAAAGAAGCAAGTATAAAATCTCTAGCTTTAGCAAAATGAAAAACAGTAGGAATGAGGAGCACACGGCAGAAGATGTATGAATAATAACTAAACTAAAAGAAAATCTCTAACTGTAGCATGCAAAGCTGTATAAAATCTCTATCTTTAGCTTAATTAAAAGAAGTCTCCAACTTTAGCATGACCAAGAAGCTAGAACAAAAACCCCCGACTTTAGCACAATAAGGAGCAAGTATAAAACCTTGTATATAACATCTGTACCTGTTATGAGCATGAGGATATATGAGACAAAGCTAAAACTGCCTTAACCGGTCTTAAACATTTAACATTTCTGAATAAACATTTGACAGAAGCCGCTGCGGACAATAAACCTGTTAATCTTTGCATTTATTTACTTTGCAAAGACTGTGGACAAGACCAAAATACTCCTTACTGTTTACCGTGCGTGTTGACTTCCAGCCTCTCTCATCCGCCCCTTTAAAATCTCACAATCAAAATATGCAGTTGGAATGTGTGCTAAACAGATAGTCACTGTAATAATTAACTGGTCAATGGTGTAACAGTGCCCGTGAAGCTGCATTCTCGTCTCTTCTTGTGAAAGAGTTCATTTGGACTCTGGCCCACGGCTCCGCTCTAATTGTAAAATCATTCACAGCCGAAAATAAACCCGGGAGCAATTTTTTTTTTTTTTTACGGCTGTCTGAGCTGCCGAGCTGTGGTCACTTCAAAACAAAGAGCCGTGTTTGTGCCGTCGTAAAAAGGCTAAACTAATGAGCAGAGGCGAAACCGGAATTTGACCCACGTCTTTTCGTCTTTCTATGCTGATCCACAGACATTAGATATTTCAATTCTCACTCGCATAAGTTTCAGTGGCTCTATTATATTCTATTGTGTTCTCATCGTCACACCCTCATCTCTTATTGTCATCCTTGTGATAAATTGTGTTAAAACTGTATTGGTTCAAAACGATTCCCCAAACGCTTTCACTTCCCCAATGCCATGAATATGAGGCAACCAGAGCTTCTTATTGCTTATTGTTGATTGCATAATGTAAGGTTCTGGACAGTATACATTCATGGACACTGTGGTCACCCGTCCCTATGAACCAATGGCTTCTATGAGTTTGTTGTTTTTGCATTTTCTGTGTTTGAAGAAATTCCTCAACAACAGATCAAAGTCCTCTGAGTCGACTGCTGTTGTGATTTAGGGCTGTACAAAAATAAATGTAATTGAATTGTAGTTAATGCTGTTATTGTTCTCTGTGTTGCAACAATAGTTTTTTATTGACGAACAAAAAAATGCTGTTAATCATATTCCTATGGGGCTGCCTGCTTCAAGAAGGATAATCCGGTTGATATGTTTTAAATCCCCCGAGCTGAGCCTGGAATTCTCAGATACCGTCAGACCTCAAAAGCTAAGCAGGGCAGGGCCTGGTTAGTTTCTGTGATTGACACAGTCTGGTGTGTCTGTGTGGTGGTGGTCGGAGGGGCCGATGGCACACACTGGTTGCCTCGCTTCCGTCAGTGTGCCCCAGGGCAGCTCTGGCTACAGTAGTAGTTTATCACCACCATTTATGGAGTGAAAGAATGACACGTGAAGCGTCTTTGATCGTCCAAAAAAAGTCTGTATAATCAATTATGTGTTATTATTATTACTATTTCCGTTATTAGGAAATATTAGACTAGTTTTTCAATATAGTTGGGATTACAATATATTCATTCAGTTCAAAACTCTACATTTAATGCTATAATTTAGTTAAACGACAAAGTACTTATTGAGTAACATTTCTTAAAACGAATAGAAGAATTATGGCTTCTACTTTAAACATTGTATAACCGTGTTTTGTGTTTTTGTTCAGAATGTGATCGATCGAAAGCCATATCCAGAAGACGAGAACCTGGTGGAGGTGAAGTTTGCCACGACTCCGGTGATGTCCACGTACCTCGTGGCCTTCGTCATCGGGGAGTATGACTTTGTGGAGAGCCAGTCCTCAGACGGAATCACGGTCCGGGTCTACACTCCGGTGGGGAAGGCCGAGCAGGGCAAGTTTGCACTGGAGGTGAGCGCTTTATCAGTCAAGACCGTTGTTTTGGACGTGAAGGTAGAAAGAGGACTGGTAATTCATCATGCGGCCTCTCGAGGTTTCTCACTTTTTCCCACTGGGTTTTTTGAGGTGTTCTTTACTGATGCCTAAGGACTGTGATGATGATCAAGGACATTTAAGGACATTTATTAACATTTATAGACATTGGTCATCTGCCCATTTTTATTTTACCAGGAAAGTCCCATTGAGATTAACATTCTCTTTTTCAAGGGAGTCCTTTTTCATCTCACAGTGGAGACATTTCAGTGTCATCGCACATTACAGCAGAGAAAGAGGGGAATAAGAGCACTCAGATTGCACACCTCAAACAGTCTATTGTTTAAAGTGGTTCTCACCCCCGCTCCTCGGAGCTTACGTCACTCACATTTCCTGTTCAAATCTTCCTCTAAATGGGCGTAGCCTGGAGGACTAAAGGGGGCGTGAACGAGACTGGGCCGTTTACATTGCTCTGGGCGGGGGGCTGCTGACGTCAGGTCTTGCTTCAGACGTCAGGTCTTGCTGCTGTGCCAGTGTTGGCGCCAGATTCAAAATTCAAATGTAGTAATACAGGTTGCCAGCAGATGGCGCCTCACAGACGGTTTTAGGCAGAAAGTTTAACTTTCAACTAATTTGCACCAAAGTGACAAAATTATGACCAGGATATGTAGACAACACTATTGGACACTCATTTATACCGTTTATCAGCAAAAAAAAAGTGGATTTGAGGGTGAGTTGTCCTTTAAAGTAGTACTAGAATTTAATATGCTGCTATCCAGAATATATAACTACAATATGTGTTTATAATATTTCGGGTGTTCATTTTGACATGTTCAGATGATTTATGTTAAAAAAACTGCTTTGAAGTGGCACCTTTTCACAAACGCTAGGGGGGGCCAAAATGGCGGCGATGACGTAGGAGAAGGACCTCTCACAGCAGCAGCAGCAGTCTGGGCTGAAACTGTAGCAGGTTTCACTGTCATCTGAACAAGGTATAAACATATTTTCATCCGTTTTGTACATAATAGTGTGCAACTCTTTTAACCTTTTAGCCTTATTTGTGAGATTCAAGCTAATTAGTGTTGGCCAAGTTAGCAAACTCTACTTGATATCATAAAACATGCTAACAAGGCTAATATTCGTTTTTACATTATGCCAGTCTCACTTTGCCTTAGATCTATTTACCACAATGTACATTGTAATATCCATAAATGCTAACACCTATTAACGGTTTAATTAGCATTTTTATCAATGATTGCATCACATGTAGTCTATGTTTTCAACTTCTGCAGCTTTTTGTTCATAAAAGTAAAATATTTATTTAATTCAAGTTATTTTGATTAGCATTTATGGATATTACAATGTACATTGTGGTAAATAAATCTAAGGCAACCAAAGTGAGACTGGCATAATGTAAAAACGAATATTAGCCTTGTACGCATGTTTTATGATATCAAGTAGAGTTAGCTAACTTGCCCAACCCTAGTTTGCTTGAATCTCACAAATAAGGCTAAAAGGTTAAAAGAGTTGCGCACTATTATGTACAAAACGGATGAAAATATGTTTATACCTTGTTCAGATGACAGTGAAACCTCCTACAGTTTCCAGCCCAGACTGCTGCTGCTGCGAGAGGTCATTCTCCTACGTCATCGCCGCCATTTTGGCGCCCCCTAGAGTTTGTGAAAAGGTCCGACTTCAAAGCTGTTTTTTTTAACATAATTCATCTGAACATATCAAAATGAACACCCGAAATATTATAAACACATATTGTAGTTACATATTCTGGATAGCAGCATATTCAATTCTAGTACTACTTTAAGATAATAGACAATATTATTAAAATAAGATAAAGAATAAAAATAAAATAAACTCTGGAGCTATAATTGCACTTGGTTCAGAAGTATTTACAGATGTGTATATTTTACTTTAGCAGCGGAGAATATGAGCAGAATAAAAAGAGGCAGCAAAAGTAAGTTACAGTAGATACAGATTATAAAACAGCTACAGTACATACAGATACAGATTATAAAACCGTTACAGTACATACAGATACAGATTATAAAAACGGTTACATGTCAATGAGTAGTGCGGGGCAAAGGGAACAGAGAGCAACAAAAGATCATTTGAACGCAAACCATAAGAACCAACATCTCTGTGATTAAATGACAGATGTAAGAGGGCAGTAGACCAAGCATCGGCTTATAGACCAGAGTGCACCAGTGTCCTGACCTCCTGCTGGAGAACGGCTCTATGCATTTCCTGTGTTTGGACTGTTTGATTCTATGATCTGTGTTGGCAAATTTAAAACTTTGTAAAGTCCTCTGAGGTAACTGCTGTAGCAATTTAGGACTTTACTTAAGAAATGTAGTTGAATCTCAATTTAAAGAGGAACTAAACTTTTTATTTGCAAACGTGCCCATGTTTTTATCACAGAAGCAATGTATTTTCCAGTTGTTTTTCTACTATTTTATTCCAGATTATGGGACATTTTTAGCCTGATGGTCAAAAACAAGAAAATTCTTATAGAAAGTCTTATATATATGCTCTCACAAGTGCTTGCCGAAAGAATGAAAACGTGTACCATGTGGTTAAACGAATGTCTTTTATCCCTCTTAGGTTGCTACCAAGACGTTACCTTTCTACAAAGACTATTTTGACGTTCCTTATCCTTTGCCTAAGATTGACCTCATAGCTATTGCCGATTTTGCTGCTGGTTGGTACTACCTTCTTTATCCTTAACCCATCGACCGTGTTAAAAGCCTATGAAACTAACTAATCGCTCTCTTCTCAGGTGCTATGGAGAACTGGGGCCTTGTCACATACAGGTAAGACACAGCAGACGGTCATTGACAAAGAGTTTACAATTAGCCTTTTGTAATTATCCTCAGTGAATCAATCAGAACGTCCTGTTTTTTTAGAGTTACGTAATGTGCTTCCTGGTCTGGCCCTTGGCACTTCTGTTGATCTCGGTGTCTGTACTGATAAGACACAGTTGAGCAATGACACACTTGCACTTCAGAAGCTTAAAAACAGGGCAATCGTAGCATTTTACAGTTTGATTTTTTAAACCCCGGTCATTCAGATATTGTTGTTGAGATCATGCCGTACTCAAAGTGTGAGGTGTGGTTGGCAACATTTGTGATGACTGACCCAATGAATTCACATGTAGTAAGGACACGTTTACACTTGTACACGTTTACACTTGTACACAAAAATAAGTTTTATTTCTTAGGTGCCTTTCGAGACACTCCAGGCTGCCTGACATAGCAAGTAAAAAGTACATTTAAAGACTGTGTAGTTACGGTGTGAGTGACTAGGTCTAAACAGATGAGTTTTGTGGGTGGATTTGAAGTGCGTGAGTCAGTCGGTGTTACGGAGGTCAGGGGTGGAGAGCTCCAGAGCTGGGGAGCAGAGCGGCGGACGGCTCTACTCCCCGTGTTGATGAGCTGGAGCGACGTGGATCAGATAATTGTTTTGTATCAACCAATCAATTGATCAAGTTTGTTTATAAAGCATGATTCATTCAGTGCAACCCAAAGTGATTTACACAGACATAAAATCATACAAAATTACAAACATTTTAAAACGTGTAAGGTAAAACTATAGAAAACTATAGAAACTCGACATACAAAACTCAGTCATACGCACAACTTTCAGCATGGACTTTAACAATGCTAGAGATGAGTCCTCCCATACATCATTAGGAAGACTGTTCCAGATTGTTGGGGCATAAACCTGAAACGCTGCCTCTTCATGTTTAGTCCTGACTCTGGGCACCAGCAGGAGGCCAGTCCTGTGTTCTTCATAGTCCCAGTTGGTTCATATGGCACCAACAAGTCACAGATGTACTTTGGTGCAAGACCATGGAGTAACAAGCAGAGCTGCTTCAAAGTTCTTTTTTTGAATTACTGTGATTATATAAAACAATGACATAGAATATATAGTAGAACAATTCCAAGAGTTCCAAGTTTGTTCACAATGTGACTCTCAACTGTGAAATGGGGTGAACATGGAAAGACAGCCAAATGTTAGAGCTGTGATTTTAATTCATTGCGGAGGCTCAGGGAACCAGATCCCATTACAGTTCCGTTCAAATTAGAACTTTAATCCACCAAAGACATTCTGGGTCGGCTAAAGACAATAGCATTAGCACCAACCTCCAGTTTATTTGTGGTCTTTTGAAGTCATGGTCCTGAATTAACCCAAAATGCTCAGAAGGGGTTGGCCTGCAAGATGTAAGAGAGACAGGGGAGCAACAAATCAGTGATGCAAGGAATACTCTGCCCTCAATACAATCATTATACATAGTTTATATAGCATCTGTTTGTGCTGCCTTTATTTGGGCAATCTCCTCATCCAATAGGAACCCCAGTTTTGTTAATTAACCAATAGTAATATGTCACCATAAGTAAAATTCTCTAGCCATTTGGACTGAAGTATGAGATTCACAATGGTCTGAAGGTCTCGCTCTTCTTGCGTTCTTGGCCCTATATTTGGACACATGTTGAAATCTTATTGACTGACGAGCTCTTGACCCTATGTAGGAGGCCAGTTGCTGTAGACATCACAAAATCATGCTTTCATCTTTTAATATATGTTTTTTTCATGGGCCTTTTTAAATAACATTGGTCACAAAATCCCACACAGAAATCACTATTGTTAGTATATTTATTAACCTTTGTTTTGAGAGTTTGGGCTTGAATAGTTATAGTAAATACCAGAATCTTACGCTAATTTCCTCCATGGCTTCACATTTTCTGCTCTTTCCCCTTAGAAATCCTTGTAATTTATTAATCCACTCAGAAAACAGAGATTGGGTGCAGACTGACATCCCTTTTATTTTATACATTAAATACAGTATATATTTGTACTTTGGAAAATTTGCAGATTTACAGCAAAAATGTGTCTTTTTCCGTCCGATCTTGTATAGAAAAAATATCTTCAAATAGTTTCAACTTTGCCTTTATTGACGTCTATTTCTGGAGCGTTGATGTGGTAGTTGTACAACGTAAATCTCTGCAGCACACGTCGCTGAGGGGACGGTCTATCGAAAGTAGCAAAAACAACTCCTTATCATTCAGTGGCAAATCACCTTCAATTATCATCTCACATAAACAGCATTATATAGCACAGAAAAGAGATAAAACCGTCTCAGGAGAACGTGTCTCGGCCGATACGGGGCAGATGTTGTCGACAAGTGATGGGGTTTTAATGGCCCTGTTTTTGTAAGCAGCTGTTCACGCGTCAGACGAAATCGTGATCTGAAACATAAGAAGAAAACACGTTATGCTTTTCTCAGGACATCAAACTACTTTATTTAGTGAACATTTTAACATTAATACACATACAGCATTGAGTTATGTATAAAAAGGGTGAAAGGAATAAGGACAATACAGCTGAATGGTCGCAGCAGGGTCTTTCTGAGTGGAGTTTGCATGTTCTCCCCGTACCTGCGTAGGTTTCCTCTGCGTGCTTCGGTTTCCCCTACCACTAAAAACATACACAATAGGTTCGATCCTCCAGCTCTGGTAGTCCTGACCAAGACAAGCATCAAAATCTGGAGATGGGTTCCCGGGTGCTGTTACTACGGCGACCACTGCTCCTGATGTAAGCCTATGTGGCATCAGGATGGGTCAAATGCAGAGGATTGAAATGCCCTTCGGGGGTTAATAAACTACCACCTGACTCACCACCGGGGCCATAAAATAAAACAATTCAAAAATAAGGTAAATAAAAAATATAAAACAGACACACAAACATATAGATACAAAGGAAAAAAAATATGAATTCAAGTGGATGCTTTTGTAGCATGATTAAAATTTGACCAGAAACAAAGACCAAGACGTCAAAGAGTTTGACCGAAATAACATGTATTTCTAGTTACAATTAAATACTAAAATAAGCTAGTTCTTTTTTTGCCTACCCCTTTCTACAAGTAGTATAAGTGAAGGTGTACAAAAGGTTTTCCATAAGCAATGCAATAGGATTTTGCATAAACATAAAAAATCTGAGTTTCCTAAAGTGGAAAAGTGAAAATGTGATCTAAAACAAGTGGCTGTAAATATCAATATATATCTACCTATATATCAGTGTAAATTACATCCATTACTGGCTGGATAAAGTAGATAAAGTGACATTCAGTGGACACTCATAAATTGCAGGACTTACCATTTACAGACGAGACGACCAGTGTTGGGCACGTTACTTTGAAAAAGTAATTAGTTATAGTTACTAGTTACTTCTCCCAAAAAGTAACTGAGTTACTAACGGAGTTACTCCACTATAAAAGTAACTAGTTACCAGTAAAAGTAACTATTGCGTTACTTTTTCGTTTTGTTCTGGAACATAATGTGCACCCGACGTGCGCATTTTTACCTTTAACAGTGCCAATATTTCCATCTAGAGAAGGCTGTTTTGCTGCTGAAGTCCTGTTCACTCTTCATCTCTCTCTGTGCTGTAAGCACTAAACACCAACACCCGCCACTGTGAATGTGGAAACACCGGTGACGAGCGGTGAGGCTGGTGAAGCACTGACTTCAGTCCAATCAGATGAACATATACATCATATAAATCAAGTGGACAATTTGTTTGGCTACAGCAAAATATGTTTTATGCCCGCATTGTTTGTTCATACAAAACGCAAAACTATGAGTTATGGGTCTTACCTTATAGCTATACCTTATAAATGACTAATCCACTTCGGTTCAGACCAGTTCCTTGTTTAAATCCAGTGAATGGTTTGAGCGTAGATATGTAATCCTCCATTTGGAAATGAGTCCAATGAGTTTTAAAAAGTAAAACAAAACGCGTGTGTCCTCCGTAAACTCCTCTGTTTTGCTGCAGCCGGCTGCATCCAATTTCTAAAATCAACCGTCTTACACTTCACCTCTCTTTCTTATCATTCCTATAGTAATTGAAAAATTACCCCATGTGCATTTTAGATTATGTAAAAATGTGTTATATGTATGTTAGCCAAACCGGTTGCTGTCCTTAGCAGATAAACCAGGAAGAGCAAGGAGCTTATCGATGGAATTGTATGCAGCCGACTTCTGCGCTCACATGCGCTACTCTGTGGCTGACCTCACGGTGATACAAGCCGTGGTTGAGCGCGATTAAGACCCATATTTGTTTCAAAAACACAATTTATGAGCCATCCTCTCAACTGTAGACATGTAGATTGTAAAGGAAATATGATTTACATCAGCCAATAATTGCTGAGAGGTTTTCTCATCCTCCCTTCTCTCATGACAACACGTTCATTGTGCGTCTTGAGTAACGCGCAGTAACGGGATGTCGGAAATGATAACGGCGTTATAGTTACTGTCAAAGTAATTAGTTAGATTACTCGTTACTGAAAAAAGTAACGGCGTTAGTAACGCCGTTACTAGTAACGCCGTTATTCCCATCACTGTCCATAAGTAATTGTTGTTATTTATTTACTTTTCAGGAAATTGTGTGGGATACTGTTGAGTTTGTTTTCATTACTTTTAAACTAACTTTTAAACTAAATTAGTCACTGAATCATTGATATTATTGTCAGGACAGGAAGGGGGACAGACGCTGTGCAGCTCAAGTGACATGAGGGACTAATAAACACAGGTAATTTAGAATGGATTTAATCAAAATTATAATAAAGATGAAAAACTAGCTGATCTTGATTGTGATTAAGTTTTGCGATGAGTAGAGTCCAACCTCATAAGTAAGTGAATCCATTGCATTTGCTACTTGTTTGATCCTTGTTTGATCCTAGTAACAAACTGGCCCAAAATGTGTCAAATATAACATAAATTATCAATTTACAAATCTGTTGTTGGTCAATCGACAACTTT